GGAATCCTGAACGCATCCTGAGGACGTAGCTTGGTCTCGCCCAGGAGCACAACCTCTGGGTTATACTCCCGGGCGAGAACAAGCAGGTCGTTCTTTCGGGACTTTATCCCGTCGGGGTTCCAATAAATGATGCGCAGCTCCTGGCTAGCCATTGAACCGCGCAATCATTCGGTAGAACCCCGACAGGAGCGCCCCGAAGGGACTGGCTCCCGAGGCGATCTCACGGATTACTCCGGAGATCACCTCGGACAATTTCTCCCACAGCGCGAGGAGCCATGCAGCAAAGCCAGCAGGTTGTGCCTGCCGACCGCTGCGCCGCTCACGCTGAGGGCGGGGAGGGAGGGAATGAATATTTGGGCCCGAGGTCGTTGGGTCTTGGGGCTTCTCGATAGACACTTTTATTGGCCTGGATGTCGAGGAGGTGGAGGCTACTGCCTCTTCCGGCTCCACATACTCCACCTCCATTTGTTGAGGCGCCTCTTTTTGTGGCTTGGATTGGGCAGTTGAGGTACTGCCTGTGGCCTGGGTTTGCAAGGCTTGTTCTTGGGCCCTTGCCGCAAGTTTCTTTTCCTTTTTTTTTATTTTTTTATTTTTATTTTTTTTAGCGTTTCTTGCGGCTTTCCCTCCGGTAGTGCGTACTTGCTTTGAGGACGCAACAGCTGGAGCTCTTGGGACGGGAGCAGTAGATGTGGAAGGACGTGGTGGGTTATCCTCCGCCATCAGCGTTGCCGCTGCGGTGTGGGCCTCCACGTTCGTAGGAAGGAGTGTGGGTTGGGAAGGAGGAAGGGAAGATTTTCCCTTCCCCTTACCCTTCCCTTGGGGGATCGGTAAAGGGGCAGCGGTGGGAATAGGAACTGGGTTCACCCTTGGCCGCGGCACCGGTGGTAAAGGAGGGGGAGCGGTTACCCCCATCATCCTCAGCCTCCTGCGGTAGGTTACACACCGTCTGTCGACGGCGGCATGATCCTTACCACAGTTTGCACAGGTGAAGGGGCCCTCCCTCGGCCTCGGGCAGTCCGCCACGACGTGCTCACCTGCACATCGCACGCAGCGGACCGCTCGATGACAATTGTAGGGGGCGTGACCAAAGGCCTGGCAGCGGTGACACTGCGCAGGACCCTTGCCGGGACGCCAACCTTCAACCGTCACCCCCGGCAAGTATAGCAGTTCACTGACTGCATACAAGCGGGCGAGGTCGACCTTCGAGAGGTGGTCTAGAGCTACATGAAAAATGCAGCTCAGCCTACCCCTCTTGGCCTCTATACACCGGGCATAGCGCGCCGGGAATCCCAGTTCTTTGAGGGCGTTGATGACTGCTGCCGAGTCCGTGTCGGCAGGGAGGCCCCGAATCGCTACCTTAGTGGGGATGTCCTCCGACATTGCGTAACAGTACCACTTAATGGTACTGTCCGCGGCGGAGGCCCCCGACAGGTACGACTGNCCACTTAATGGTACTGTCCGCGGCGGAGGCCCCCGACAGGTACGACTGGACCGCCCTGTATTCCTCCACGGACGTAGGCAGGAATCGAAAACCGGACCCATGGGGCCTCACCGAAGGAGCTCGGCCTAGTCGCTCCCTAATGGCGGCCATGTGGCTAGGCCAATTAGGGAGCACCTCCACCAATATAGGTGGGTGGCGTTTGAGCTCTGGGGCGCGGCCCCTAGTGCCCGGGGTAGGAATGGATGATGTTGCTGGGACTGAAGCTCTTGGAGGGATGGATCGAGCTGGAGGACGAGCTGCGGCTTTAGCCGCGTACGACGTTCTTGGGATGGTAGCTGGGGCAGCTGGGATCACATGAGACTGCGTGTGCGTAGGCAACTGTGTGGCCTCTAAGTCCATATACCTCGTGGATTCGAGGTTGCCTGCCGTGCTGCTTAGGGCAGGGGCACCTCGAGGCCGAACAGAAGGGATGGGAGATATAGGAGGGGAAGGGGAACGAGGAGGGGTTCTCTTGCACCGTCGTACTTCCGCCGTACTGGCAAGAGCCCTTGGCATAGGAGTGGGTTTAGAAGTGGGAGTGGGTTCAGGACTACCACTGCGAGAGGAGGAACAAGAAGAAGTCTATGGGCTATGGACCTCGAGCTTTTATACTCATCTGAGCCATTAAAAATAATTGAAAGGACTTAACGGTAGGCAGCGGCTTGGCTATACCCCTGGCATATCTGAAGTCCACGGGCGACGGTAACCACTCACCATCAGATGGGCCGTACGCTCGTCTGCCTACAAGGGCAATGAAAATAGAGATATATATATAATAACAAAAAATAACTTCAACGTTTTCCATTTTACTTGATTCAAATAAAAAAATAAAAACCCACCTGGCTTTTGCTGCTCACTTTCAAATTTAACTCGGAATATTTATTCAGTGAGCTTTAATTCCCGTTTTACTAAGCTTTCTGCTGTCCCAAAGAGTTCCCGGGGTCTTCGGCTAATTAATAATTTATTAAGCTTTTAAAGAAACCGGGACAGATGTAATGAACGTTTTTACAAAATATCAACGATTCCGCTCGTTGAATACGGGAGTGGTCTTAAGAACTCTTGTAATTCAGTGAAATCTGAAATGTAAGAAAATTTTCCTAAAAATACTGACTTGAAATGAATATTGTAAGCGGTGTTATGAACGTCGATTTACCTCTAAACATTAGTATTTAAACGTTTGAATTTGGATTTTTTATTAAAGAGGTCGCCTGTTTTTTCGAGCGTTTTATGAAAAAAATTTTAACGAAGTTCCTTATGGGAAAATGTATACCCGAATAATTGTTTTATTTATACCTCGATTAGAACTTAAAATTAATATTTTTATAATAAGGAACTTCGTTCCTATCCGGTGTCCCACGACACCACACATCATTTTATAACCATTTTAAGATTATGTAGAAACTCGTTACTGTCTTTCAAAATATTTTCACTCATTGAATTATAAAAATTCCTTCTTGAGTGCTTACAAAACTCAATATCAAGATAATAGTAATAACATTTTTGATAAGAATTTCTTCGTTTCGTGATCCTCAATTATAATGGGATTTGGCCTAAAGCTACTAAATAAATGTGCACTTAAAACCAGCATATCTTGATCCCTTCACTACATTACTTCAAAAGCGTTTCGCGTATCACCGAATGCATAGAACCTTTTGGATATTCATTAGTTTGATTATAAAAAATACGGTGCTATTTACAGAAATTATGTCTTTATTAGAGCCATTATGGCTATTAAATGCTTGCTCTGTGCTGGATTATGAGTAAATAATGAGATAAATATTTTTTCCAAATTGTGCCCCGTTGAATTAAATTTCTATCTATGATGTAGTCCAAATATCACTTTCATATTTAATAGAGTTTGTGTTTAATTAAATCTATTTACGCAACCTATACAATTTTTCATAAATAAAAACGCTTTTTATCTGTATTCACAAATCACTTCAGAGATGAAAAATATATTTGTATAGCGGGAACTAAGCTCACATTTTTTTTATACAAATACAAGATAATTTACTTGTCTATGATTAAAATATACGAATCTAAAATACAGAGCTGTGATCGAATATAGCCAAATAGAAACTAACTATATTGGTTGCCTTACTTTAAGGCCATGGAAATTTCAACTCTTCGCTACTACCGGATTTTGGGTGTTAATACACTGCCTTCAAATAACAAATCTCGTGAGATTGACGTTTTACTCTGACTACCTCATTGACATTACCAGTATATTAATAAATGGATATGCGTGGGTATGGGTGCGAAACTGGGAAGATAACCAAAAACATTACGCAGCTGATTTAGGTTTTTATCAAGCGCTACAAGTGGCATTTTCTGGCCTAAGAAGATTTCTAACGAAGCCCTATGGGAGGCATGTCGGGAAATGCCAATTGACAGGCAGATCATGCACCGCAGATCGCCATGGATATGACAAAGCAGACTTCAAGGTGCACTGTGGCAGCGGAGATGAAGATAATGAGGCCAACCTGGCCCAAAGTAAAGCCCGTGTTCGCTATGTTCGCGATGGCGAAGTACAATTGAAGCCCTCTATCCCATCTGGGACCCTTAGGACCTTAAACAACCAGTATAATAAATAACAAAATAAATTTAAAAAAAGCCTTTATTTGATCTTACTACATTGCTTCTTAATTTGCTAAATTTATTTTATAGTATAACACTATGTTTAATTACTAGCAAGATCCCCAGGTTGGGTAAAGGCCTCCTCCAATGATGACCACTTGTGTCTATCCTGTGCTAATGCCACCACCAAACACCAAAAAACAACCAGTATATACGAGTATATATTAATATCAATAAAGTTACCGAATGTTATCAATGTCAACATTTTCAATCACTAACCCATCTAGTTCTTCTACGTCTGCACCAAAATATAAAAAAAATATAACTTAAATAAATGGATGTGGTATCTTCTTAACGATAATAATAATTCCGAGTTAATTTCACTAACGAAAATGATATCGAATGGAAATGTATTCACAGAAGCTCGAAAGCAAACAACGAAGCGCTTTGCTTGTTTTTTAGTGCTTCTAAATTGGGTCGTGTAGTTGCACGGTCTGTTCGCTTTCTTACGAGTATCGGGTTACTTAAAAGGAACTGAAAAAAATATATGAGAGTCTTCGAGCAGCTTGAATAATTTAAAAATAATATCAAATTTGATATAGTTATAAAGTTTTGATACAACAAATATACAGTAAGACTTTATTTTGTTGGATACTGATCAAATAAGGAAATTTATAAAGTCCATGTTGTTTTTTACTTCTGTTAAGAGCAAATGTGACTTTTATACTAATATATTATATCTGAAGTTATCTATCCAAGAGATAAGACAGTTTATAATACATAAGTTATGTTCTTCAGTAATCGAAATGAAGGTGCTATCATCACTGCAAAAAGCTTAAGGCTGGCAAAACTGCTTTATTTTTAGTTGGCTTATTGAGGGAAAATAATATGAATGCAAAATAAAGTAATTGCTATTCGAAGAAGACGAGATTTCATGCTCTCATTTTCTGAGCAATAACCGGAAACCCTATTATTATTATTGGTGATATTTGGTATGAGCTACATACCATATAATTGACCACAACATTAACACGATACAAAGAAAGCGTTTGTTATACGCGAAACTATAAAATAAAATTTAAGTTTCATGTAAAATCTATATAATTCGTTACCAGTTTCCCTTGGTACAAAATTACACGACGACGGGCGGTCGTTTTAAAATTTTACACCTTGGACTCTCAATTTCCATAGGAATATCGTGCATAAGTACCGCATTGGAAGCGTAATCATCTACCTGATCGCGAACAATCAGCCTTTGGTGAGTGGGGTGCGTAAATTGTCGCCTCGAGGACAATGCAGTTATTTCGAGTGAAGAACCTGAAACATGCATTTCATGTCCTATGAACTTTGACACTTATAAACTGACCGTTTTCGAAATAATATAAAACCAAAACAAAAATAAAGACAATTCTGAAAACGCTTTCCGTGGAACATCACGTAGGGAAACATACCTTAAAAGATATGTTATTTAAAAAATACAGCCTACCGTAAAATATAAAGAAATATGGTGTAAGCACATAATTGGCTGTTCCGGTACACAATGGACTGGTGCTAGTGCCTCAAGCCACGGCAAATGAAGCATGCTCTCACGTAAACATCACCACTATTAAAGACCTCGCACAACTCCTTTTCGTACCCAGAAGCTGTCTTCATTTCAAACGATAAACACTGGCATGGTAGTTCAATGTATATTGGACAGAACCACAAAACAACAAAATGCCATGTACATACGTCACAAGTACATTGAAAATCTTCTGCTGTTAAAATTAAAGCTACAAAAGGAAAATGTACTGTTAGGAAATTTTTATTATTCCGCCGAGAGTAGGAAAAACATAACATAATGAAAAACTAAGGT